GAGATTCATCAACACAGTGATATGCTTTATGCAGGAGCACTGAAAGAAGTTAAAGTGAAATGATCTGTCTAAAGTAATTTGACAAATAAAAATAATGTTAGCAGACAAATTTTAAATGCCAAATATAAAATCTGTGCTGTGTCCTGTTTCCACATCGCAACAGTTCAGTTGTCATTCCCTTTCCCTTGGGAACCTTAAAAGCATTGCCCTAAAAACCTATACTCTGGCCCCTCCGTACCGTTGACACGTTACCACCATCACCATTATAATAATAATACCAATACCAATAATAATAATAATAATAACAAAAGTAAAATACTTCAATAATGATAATCATACAAATAACAAGAAAAAAACACTACTAATCCTATCAACATAGATAATAGTAATAATGGTAACAGATGGATAATATAATAAGAATAATAACAATAATAATATCAATAGAAAAAAAACACAAAAGTAGTAGAGGTAGAAGCAAAACTAATATTACAAATTATACTGCTACTATTAATAATAATGATGATAATAATAATAGTAACAATGATAATAGTAATAATAACAACAGTAATAATAATAATAGAGACAATAATGATATCAATAAACTTAATACTACTATTAATAACAGTAATAACAATGATGGTAATAATAACAACAGTAATAGTAATAACAACAATAGTAGAAATATTAATAATAATAACAATAACAATAATAATAATAATAATAATAATAATAATAATGATGATGATGATGATGATGATGATGATGATGATGATGATGATGATGATGATGATGATGATGATGATGATGATGATGATGATGATGATGATGATGATGATGATGATGATGATGATGATGATGATGATGATGATGATGATAATAATAATAATAATAATAATAATAATAATAATGATAATAATGATTATTGTTAAAATGATAATAGTAAAGATACCATTAAAATTAATAGTAATAATATTAACAAAATACTGTTACCAAAATAATGACAATAGTAATAATACAACAACAATAATAAATATGATAATAATAATAATAAAAACAAAAATGATAATAATGATAACAATAATGACAATGATAACAAAAATAATGACAATGATAACAAAAATAATGATAATGATAATAATTATAGCAATAATGAAAATCAAAATAACAATAAGAAATATAATAATGATAATCATAACAATAGTAATTATGGTAAGGGCACACATACGCTACTTATGTATATCTTCAATTATATATGCACATACACACTGATAATTTGATTGTGTGATCCTACACAAATATTCAGAAATTGATACAGGAATTAAACACACACATACATACATTTTACTAGTTGTGCTATGGAAACTAATGATACTATAATAATATATTCTAATTGCATCATCTTCAAGGTTACCTCTTACCATGAAAATGAGAAAATTAATAGCCAAAGAAATACTAACAGAAAGTAATCTGGCAAAAGAAATCAATCTAAGAATGCAAAATTTACTTACACTCTTCAATAACATGTAAAAAGTAAAAGAAAATACCATTTAAATGAATGAGTGCAAGCATTTCCTTCCAGTTTGACATATTTGGACAAGGAGCAGTGAGAGTGGAAGCCTTCAGTACCACTGTAAAACTTTACCTTCAGAAGGTTGTCAGGTGAAGACATATACAGGGAAAGGGTTAGTAAAAGCCAACTGAATTATTCTATTGAAATATTTCTTATCACATAAAAGTATATGGATTAAAAACAGATTTAAAGAAAGTCAGAAAATCATTACACCACTGTATTCACATAAAATAATTACAAATATATTATTATGAATTTAAAAATCATGTATAAAATCTATTAGCACTGCTCACTGAAAAAAATCCAATTCCTGCATCCAGGCACTATAAAACTTCTACACCTGGTGACTCTCCATACATGACATAGTACCATTAATATCAAAACAGCATAGGAAACTGCTAAAATGCACTGCTCAAATATACAGCATAGTGATTTCATTTATATGGCCTGACTTAAAGTCTCAACCCAATGATCTTCCACTTCCTCCTCTTCCTGCTGATAGCATCCACGCTTTAGCCTTACAAGGTCACCCCATAGCAATATAGACCCACAGCTTGGACATGGCCCTTCTAGAGGAAGCAAAGTCCCTGGTGGTTCTCTTTGTAGCATATGTTTTGCAAGGCATCTGACATGAGCATTTAACTGACACGAGGTAGATAAACATCTGTGGAAAAAAGTTCCAATAATTTTGTTTGGTTTTTGGTTTTCACTTTCACACAAATTTGCATTTTTCATAAATTCCTTCATATATTCCTTATTGCACTTATGCATTTTAAACCTTATATCATATAACACAATTAGATAAATACCTCATTCTTTCTGTTTGTGTTACTGCATCATCACACAGCAAGCATGTCACCTCCACAACTTCAATTTCTTGCTCCTCTTCATTCTTTCTAACCTTTGCAGGTTTTACTGGACCATAAGCAATTGGCATGTGATTAGGGGCCTCCATCCCTGCCTAGAAGAAAAGAATATAAATCAAAATAAATGAAATTATTACAAGAAATATTAATAATAAGTATTACCCATCTTCCTGTAGATCTAAATACTAACCCCTTCTCTATTGAAATGTACTCCTTAGTCACTGATTGATACCCCCACACACAAAGTTATAAACTATTGATGAGTATTTTCCTGGGGGTATAATTTAAGAAGGATGTATCTTTAGAACAAGGTTTATGCTTCGAGTTCATATTATTACGAAGACATTTCTGAATCATCTGTAGTTAATACAAAATGGAAAAGTAGCTGGTAGAGCTGGGTGAGGTATTAATGAGGTTTTGAGCAGGAGACTACTCACAGGAAATTCTTTGAAGTACTGTTGTTTCAGCCATCTAAGTGTAAGAGGAAGACGAGACCAAGGTTTGGTTTGTAACATAGTTGCCAGAATCCGCAGACAATATTCATACTTTGTTTCTTTTGCTTTTTTACGGCCCATACCTCTTAACCGACGACTTCTTTCTGGATGCTGCCAGGCCCATTCAAACTGGAAAATAAAAAAAATAGACTATCTAAAGCAATATACTACTCCTGCTAAAAGCAAATTATGAATATTATGAGTTCCTTAATTATACACTTTTAAATCAACATTCATCAATGTAAAGTATTCCAAAATCAATAGTTTATTACAAATAATTACAATTTTCCTTGAGTTCTTCCTGTTTTAACTAAAACATATGAGCAGTGAGAGGTAGCTTAAAATGAATGAGAATTATGTGAAAAATCTAAAACATTTCACTTGCCATGTCATGTTTAATTTATAGATTATTATATATAAAATTTCCATGTGAAGACAAATATTCACTTACTCTGAGGGCAGATATGTCATTTGGAAATCCATGAACAATAAGAACCATTTCCCTGAAAGACAAAAACAATAAATGAATAAATAAAATAAAATAAAATTATATATACAAAATATCACATTTTTCTAATGAGCTCACTAAGTAACAGAATGTAAATTTTGAAGCTCAAAATATGAAAAAGTGAAATAAAGTATTTCCAGATGAACTCACCATGGCCCTCTGTTACTGGTTTTATATGCACCTCCTGCCCTAACACCTCGGTTGTGCTGCTTGATACGACGATTGGGGTCAACTGTAAAGCCAATATATGTGCGTCCTTTGTACTGTGGATTTATGCAGTACAACAAGTAAACTCCATAAAAATCTTCAACAACTTCACCATCAGCCATCCTGAAACAATGTCCTAGGTTATAAAAGACCTATATTTTTGAGTGCAGCAAGGTTTTTTCATTTGCTAAGCTGGCTTGTTGCAAGTTGCTGTATATAAAATAAGTGTACTGCAATGTGAACAAGAAAGCTGTCTTCTTGCCTATCCTTGCCTTATTTCTTAAACAAGTTTCTCTGAATAACATAAAAAACATGCAAATTTTGGTTTGCCATTCAGGTAGTTATTCAGAAAAGTTTGCACTGTCAGTATTAAAGATATTAATAATGCTGGATTGTTTGTGATCCATACTATTTAGAAAATGTGCATTCAGTCCCTAAATGCAATCTATAATGGTGATATTAGCATTAACCCATTGGATCTTGATGCTTTGCAACCCTCACAAGGACCAAAAGCCGAGCTTTAGGCTTTCTTGAATGGTGACTCCCGGATGTGGCTTGTGACTCAGCCCACACAAATACTTGTGTGCAGTATCAAGACTTCTTGCCTTCCCTTTACAATGTTATTATCTCTTTTATTCATTATGCTTTATCAAGATGGTATTAGGATGTTTTCGTTAAACAGATTCCATATCATCTTTCTAAGTAGTCTAAACCTCTGTGCAATGACAATAAGTAACATTATGTTATTTGTCATTTCTTTTACTTTTGTATTGTTCGATTTCTGTAACACCCTGCACCATCTGGCATGGATTCTGAACACAGAAGTAATGTCCTTCCTGTAGCCATGGCACTTCCTGCCATGGCTCACAAATGGTACCTTCCATTCTCATTTACCAGTGGAAATGATACAAGAGTCCCTTCCGAAATGACCACTAACAAAATCTTCCTCTAAGAGCTTTATGCAATCATGCATTTTTAATATAGGCACATTTCCATTACCCCTGCCCTTTGCCAAAACTTTCCATGAAGACATTTCCTTCAGCTATCCATTGGCCAAATTTTTTGATGACATGATGGTTACGTCATCTGGTTACGTCATCTGGATGCACAACTTCAATAATTGATGCTGCCTCCATAAAGACTGCTAAACCTTCACTACATATTCCTTGGTAAGCCTTACAAGTTTCTCCTTGCCAAAATATCAGTCTAAATTCTTGAGCTGCATCAAACATTTTGCACTTGAAGGTCTCCCACAGATATACAGGGTCCATCAGATTGTTGAGCGCTGTGAAACAACCAGAAATTGCCTCAGCAAACCCCCGGGCACACCCCCTCCCTTAGCCTGTCCAAATGAAGCACCCTTGGGTAGCCATTGGACCTCTGAGGAGTTTTGACGAAGACCTGAAGGGTAGCCACATCTAATCTACGGTCAGTGCCTCAAAACTCAGCACTCCTATACACCCTGCAGTTCTGGAGGATTCTCCAACAACTGCTAATGAGGGTGTGGTCAATCTCCTTGGCTGCATTACCTGCATCAATGCCAGACTGTAGAGTATTTTTCTTGCGCCAGGAATATTATGTTTTTCATGTGTGGAAAACATCATTCTGTCTACATTTGCGTGGATGGATCTGCAGATGGATGATGAAACAAATGCGCGGAAAGGTCAAAAGAAGTTTATGTGCAGAAGATGATTTTAAAAAGAACTAAGCGTGCACAGAAATTTACCCAAGAACTACATTTTCACTGACAGAATTTGACCAAATAATTTTTGCCCAGGAATACGTTCCCCAGGCAGACCAAACTCTACAGTCTGGCATCAATTTACCGTGTCCAACAGTGTGGGTCAGAGCGCTGATACCAGGAGCTAGACGTCCTCAATTTCTGGAACCTACCAAAGTCCTGGAAAAGGAGGTTATTCTTGCTGCTGGCATCAGCTCCCAGACCATGAGGACCTACAGACATCTCATACCCAGGTCAATTACAGCCAATAATGCACCGAAGTCACCCAGAAACAATACAAATATCTCACCGAGGACAACTGTCCATCACAGAGGCAAGGTTGGAGTAAAACTTCTCTTTCACATCGATTTTCAAACATCAGTAGGAACCTAGGCCTATACTGCAATAAGAGACATGAAGCTAAAAGCTAGCTTCAGTCTTAATACCATTATACGCTCATCGACCGGAGTAACCTCTACTGAGTGCTGGAGTCTGCTGGAGATGGCTATGGATACTCCCTGAAGATGGTGACCATCACTGCAGCCCAACCAGTAATAGGTATAGCCACCCCAGGCTGTAGAGTTTGGTCTGCGTGGCGAACGTGTTCCCCGTGCAAAAATTATCAAAAAATGTAATATTCCCCACGCAAGAAAAATACTCTACAATCTGGTAGCCCCCTACACTAATCACAGTCACTGCCTGTCTTTTCACCTCCAAGAGAGCAGTTCAGTTCTCTCAACAATTGTGGTAACTGATCATCCTAATGTACAGAGCAAACATCCCAGGCCCCCATCTTTACATCCCACTTGAGGTTTAGCTTCAGGACATCACCTCTGCAATCCCTGCTGACACTCCCCTATATAGTGGGGGGTGGCAGGCTACAGGACTCAACATCCACCTGTAGGGTTCCCTTGAGCTTTGCCACACGGGCTTCAAAATGGGTTGATGACTGCCAGAATGCAGGCCGGACTGGAAAGCTCCTGTTCCCACTATGTATGAAACCACTATAAATGAACAGAATGTATTAAAAAACAAGCAAAGAATTACAAGTGAATATAAAAATAAAAACAATGTCAAACATAACCCCTATCCCACCTTGGTTTGATATTACAAAAAATATAGATACAAAATTCTTAGAAGAGCAAACAAACAATATCCCAGAACAAATAATAAGATTACAGTATATAATGTTAGAAAACACATGATATCTAAATTATAAAAAATTATTCACAGATGGCTCGAAAATAAACAGCAATACTTCCACATCAGCAGCTATATACATACAAGATAACAATAAAACAACAATATGGAACTTACCAAACAAAACAGAAATAATAGAAGCAGAACTCTTTGCAATAAAACAAGGGTTAAAATACATACAAAACAACAAATTACCAAATTCGATACTATTTACAGACTCTAAATCAGCACTACAGCTAATATTAAACTTGAGACCAAAAAATTTTAAGTATATAATTTTTTTTTAAATACAAGAAGTGATATATACAGTGGTAAATCAAAAACAAATAATAATCCTACAGTGAATACCTTCACATAACACATAAAAGGCAATGAAATAGTTGATCAAGCATCTAAAAAAGCACACAAAATAAGAAACTCCACAACCATACATGAAGATGCAAAAAAAGATAAAAAAAAAAAAAAAAAAAAAATCAAAGCAACTGGAAAACACAGCTAAACACAATTCTTAACACAAAGAATTATCTCTTGAAAAACACAGAACCACAGCCATGGTCAAGATCCAATAACAGAAAACTAGATGTCTACATAACCAGAATAAAAAACACACACACAAGACTAAATCAACACCTACATAGAATGAAAATAATAAATGATCCACTCTGCAGATGGTGTCAAAACCAAGAAGAAGATATATAACACTTAATGCTACACTGTCCACGATTTCACGTCAGCAGAACGAAATTGAAAGAAGCCTCAAGAAAAATCAAAGTAATCAACCCTACCATAAACATTATTCACAAGTGCAGATCTCTCCCCGACAGAAAAGTACTACACTCTTAGACATACCAAAATCTTCCTAAGAAAAAACAAACTAAAAGAGATCATATAAAAGAAAGAATAGAAAAGAAAAAGGATCCAGGGGATATAGACTACTCAAAAGTCTAAAACCCTATAAAAGAAGAAAGAAGAAGAAGAATGTATTCGCCATTTCATGATACCACAACTGATACTATTGATATAATTATCCCATTTGTGTCAAAAGTCCCATGTTACCTTGTTATGAATTAGGTTTGAACAAGGTGAAATAATAGTACGTTTTCTTACATAAGCTCCTCTTCTTTTTCTTCTTTCTTGTTATAGGGTTTTAACTGATTCCATAAACTCTTCTTCTTCTTTACTGTTATAGGGTTTTAGACAATTGTCGTCTATATCCCCTGGATCCTCTTCTTTTAAGATTTCCATGAAGTCTGAAAACTTCAAACCCGAGCCCCAGGAACGGTTCCGAACGGTTTGTTATTGTTGTCGTTCTTGTAAATTGCGTTCGGTGAATCCAGGGAGTCCCTTTCGGTTTCCGAGTTTTCGCTTTCTTTTCTATTTTGTATTGGATTTCAGGCCATAGAACTAAGAAGAAATGTAAACTCTTAAAAGATAGAATTATATATTAGTAGTGAATTTGGGTATTCTTGAAAAATAATCTTGCAATCGGAGCAGTTCGCATAAAGGAAAAGTGCCATTTAAAAGAATTGGTTTAAAGTTCATTTTGAATTACAGGCTGTCATGCAACATAAAACCAAATAATAAAATTGCAGGGCTGCTCTAATGTGTCACTCAAGAACACACTACCATCAAAACTATGTATAATCAATTTAGTAGGTTTATTTATTTGTGCTTTAGTAATTATTCTAGTTATGCAGACATCTAATTTTCTATTTTTGGATCTTAACCATGGCTGCGGTTCTGTGTTCTGCAATAGATAATTCTTTGTGTTAAGAATTGTATTTAACTGAGTTTTCAGTTCTCTGTTTTTTTTTTTTTTTTTGTGTCTTGTATGGTTTTGGGATATCTTATTTTGTGTGCTTTTTTAGCTGCTTGATCTACTATTTCATTTCCCTTTATGTTTTTATGTGAAGGTATCCACTGTAACATTATTATTTGATTTTGATTTACCATTGTATATATCAATTCTTGTATTTCAAAAGTCATACTTTTAGAATTCTTAGGTTTCGGGTTAGATATTAGTTGAAGTGCAGATTTAGAATCTGTAAATAGTACTGATTTTGATAATTTGTTATTTTGTATGTATTTTAGCCCTTGTTTTATTGCAAAGAGTTCTGCTTCTATTATTTCTGTATTGTTTGGTAGTTTCCATATTGTTGTTATTTGTTATCTTGTATGTATATTGCTGCTGATGTGGAATCGTTGTTTATTTTCGAGCCATCTGTGAATAATTTTTTATAATTTCGATATCGTGTGTGTTTTCTAAACATTATATATTGTGCTCTTATTATTTGTTCTGGGATATTTTTTGTTTGCTCATCTAAGAATTTTGTTTCTATATTTTTTGTAATATCAAACCAAGGTGGAATAGGGGTTATGTTTGACATTGTTTTTATCTTTATTTTCACTTGCAATTCTTTGCTTGTTTCTATTATTCTATGGATTAAGTTATTTTATCCTTTTGAGGGTTATATTCTTTATATTTTCTGTTAACATTTTTTTTATTTGTGTATTTTCTTTTTTTTCTAGTATTTTTAACATTTGGGTGAATTCTTTTTCTTTTAGTTTATTTTTGATCGACATTTTATTTGTTATAGAGTGCATTTATTGGAGTGGTCTTTAAACATCCAGTGGCTATTCTCAAAGCTCCATTTTGAACTGTTTCAATTTTTTTTTATTTCTGTGTCATTTGCTGTTCCATAAATTGTTATACCATATTCTATTTTTGGTTTTATGTAGATATCATAGAATTTTATCATTGTCTCTCTGTTTGCTCCCCATGTTGTTGTTGATAATTTTTTCATTATGTTTATTCTATTTGTACATCTAATTTTCAAGTTATTAATATGGTTTTTCCACTTTAGTTTTGGTGCGTCGAATTCGAGTCCTAGGATTGTATGTTTATTTGTGAATTTTAGTTCTTCATTATTTATTTTTATTATTGGTATTTGTCTTATTCTTTTTTTTGTAAAGCACATTACTTTGCTTTTAGTTAAATTTAATTTAAGCTCCCAGTCGTTAGCCCATTTTACTATTTTATTTAATCCTACTTCTAGATTGATTTTTGCTTCTTCTAGATTTTCATTTATTGTTATTATATTTATGTCATCTGCATATATTATTTTGTTGGTTTTTACTGTTAGATTTAGATCTGACATCATTATGTTGAATAGTAATGGACTTAATGGAGATCCTTGTGGAAGTCCTTTACTTATTCCTCCTTCCTCGGATTTTTGGTTTCCTATTATTATTTGGTAGGATCTATTATTTAAAAAATTAGATATCCATCTGAGAGGAGTACCCGTTATACCTAGTTTAGCTGCTTTTATTATTATTGCATCATGGTTTACTTTGTCAAAAGCTTTTTCTAAATCTAGAGATGCTATTAGGGCATATTTTTTCTCTTTATAAGCTTTTTTAATATGAAAATCGATTATTTGTAATGTATCTATTGTTGAGCTATTGGGTCTGAAACCTGTTATGTCTTGACTTAGTTTGTTATTTTTTTCAAGCCACCATATTAGTCTATTGTTGATTATGCTTTCCAGCATTTTCCCTATACATGAGATTCTACTTATGAATCTATATGATTTTTTATTTGCTGGATCTTTATCCGGTTTTAATATCGGATTTACGAGTGATTTCTTGAATTCTATAGGGATATTCTCCTTTTATCCACAACTGATTATAGATGTTTAAAATTTTTTCCAGTAGGTTATTTGGGATATTTTTATAAAATTCATAAGGGATACTGTCTGGGCCACAAGCTTTATATTTTTTTGTCTTTTTTATTACAGAAATTAATTCTTTTAATGTTATCTCCTTTTTTAATCCGTTCGTACTTGGCAATTCTATTAAACTTTTAAATTCTGATTTTGTTATTAAGCATTTTGTTTTTGTGTTTATTATACTTTGGAATTCTTCTTTTAAGAGTTTTAATTTCTTTTTTGTTTCTTGTATTGGCTGATCATTATCTATTAGCGGGTAATTATTTATTCTATTACTGCCTGAAAGTTTCTTAATAAAATTCCATATTTTTTTGGTTGGGGTTCTAAAATCTAATGAGTGGCAGAAATTTGACAACTGTTCTTTTTTCCTTTTCTATTGTATCTCTTGCTATATTTGAAGTTTTTTTATTCTATTCTGTTTTTTTCATTAGGATTTTTTCTCCATTTATTGAATGATTTGTTTCTTTGTTTTATTACTTCTTTACATTTTTTATTCCACCATGGTTTTTTGGTTTATTTTTACTATTATCATTATTTAATCTGAAATGTTTCATCCCTATGTTTTTTATTATTTCTGTTATTTCGTTTCAGTGATTTTATATTGTCCACATCTATTTTTTGTATTTCTTCTTTAAATTTTATCCATCCTTCTTCATTGAATTTCCATTTTCCTCTTTAACTATTGTTTCTCTATTGTGATTAATGTCTCTTATTATGATTGGAAGGTGATCGCTTCCTCCATATATTTTTGCTTCTACTTCTAATTACTCAGTTCTGGGGGTGCCCAGAACTAGGTCTATTGTAGACCCTTTACCTGTTTTTCGGATCTATTCTAGTAATTTGTCCTTTTGGAGTTAACATCAGTATTATTTGATTTTAAATAAACAAGTTTATTCCAGTGATATTTGTTATATTTTGGTTTGTTTTTAATTCCATAGCGGATGATGGGCATTAAAATCTCCTATTATGAGTTTTGGTTTTTCTATTTGGTTTATGTAGTGTTCCATATCTTTTTGATTTACTTTGTTACATGGGTTGTATATTAAAAGTAAGTGTAGCCATCCTCTTTTATAGCTAATCTTTATAGCTAATGTTTCGATGTTTTTATTTTGTAATTCATTTAGATTAATCTTCTTGTATTGTATATCATTTTTTATACAAATTGCTAAGCCGCCTCCCCTTTGTTCTATTCTATCATTTCTTATGATATCATAATCTTTTATATCAAATTTGTCATTATTTGTAAGCCAAGTTTCGCAAATTGCGAATATCTCCGGGTTTTCTGTTTGAATTAGATATTCTATATCTATTTTTTTGTTTATTACAGATCTAGCGTTCCATAGTATTGTTTTAGTCATTAAACCAAACTGATATTTGTTTTAATATTGGAGCAACTTCAGTTATTATCTCTGTTATTATTTCAATTATTGTTTTGTCTGATTTGAATTTTTCGGTTATATTAGTTATTAATTTGAAAATTCCTTTTGTTATTTCAACAAATGAAGGTTTTTCTTCTTTGTTTTTTTGTTCTTCTTCTTCTTCTTTCTTCTTCTTTTCTTTTATTGTTGGGGTTTTGTTTAGTGGTGTTGGTAGAGACCATGTTATGGGGATTCTGTGAGTTTCTTGTCTTTTATGTTTTGTTCCTTTGTGTGTGTTTGTTCTTTTCTTTTTCTTGACTGTTTTTTTGTTTTGATTTTGTTGATTGAGTTGGAGTATTTTCTGCTCTGTTTGTGTTATTTTTTTTTTGTGGGTGTTTTTTTGTGCTGTGTTATGTTATTTGTTTGTGTTAGTATTTTAGCATATGTTGTGTTATGTTTGGGTTTGTTTGTTGTATAGTGTTTGTGTTATCATCTGTTTGTTGTTTGTAATCTGTTTCTGAGTTGTGTATTTCTGCTGTGGTAATTATTATGTTTTTTTGTATTGGTTGATTCTGTTTTTGTGTTGTTGGGTTTAAGTGATGGAAAAGTTTTTTTACTTCTAAGTTATTTGGTGTTGTGTTTTTTTTGTTTATTTCTTGGGCTTTTTGATGAATTGGGCAAGTTTTATCGTATGCTGTGTGGTTACCTTTACAGAAAAAGCAATGAGGTGGATTTTTGCAATCTTTATATTTGTGATCTTGTTGGCTGCATTTACTACATCTTATTTTGTTTTTGCATGATATCAACCCATGGCCATACATTAGACACTTAAAACATTTGGATATTGGGAATGTGTATTGATATACCTTATAACTTATATGACCTTTGTTAATTTGTTAATGGGAATGTTATTTTTCAGGGATTTAGTAGGAATCCATTTATTTTCTCCTGATATTTTACTTGGTTTATGAATCCTTGTTATATCTTTTATGTATGTATCTGGCCCCCATAGTATCTTGGTTTTTTCTTTGATTTCTTCTATTTCTATATCTGTTTCTACTGGGGATATTGTTCCATAGGAGCATCCTTGATCTTTATTTGATGCAGGTTGCTTACAGTTTATTTCCCAGTTGCCTAGGTATTTAATTTCATTGAGAGGTCCAATTTTTGATATATCTACTACCTCGAATCTAATGGCTTTTCCATCTCCTATTACTCTTAATGAATTTTC